TGGCAAGTGTGCAATTAACTTCTGATGATGAATAATTACTGTTCAATAAGTTTGAATACGGAATTAGAAATCATATAACTTGGTTTCATAGTGCGGTAAGAAGTTGCAGTTGCCTAACGGCCCCTCTCTGAGGGCCTCTTTGTAAACCGTTTCATCTCGCTCGCACCACTTGTGTTTGCTGCCTAATCAGGTGACGTTATCGGCGCTATTTTTAGCCGGGCTTTCCCGAACAATTCAAGTGGTCAAACTGGACATTTGGAACGGACTATGAATATGGGGATTGCGAGGTAACATAAGTGGAAGTGCATACAATACATACATTCATTAAAAAAAACACGCCTTTTCACGTGATGTCCCTTTAATTGGTATGTCCGAAGCACTGTTTTTATTTTTACATGTGAGATCACACAAAAGTGCATGAACACATACCCACACATATCATAAAAACAAATATCTATCATACATACATACATACATACATTCATTCATGTACTCCCACACATACACACACACGCTCATTGATGCATACCTACGTACCCCTTTACAACCAACCAACCAATCAACCAATCGTGAATTTAAACAATATGCATAATCGTAATTTGAATCTCTCTGTCGACGCTAGATACAGGTCCACACAGTTTTAAAGACTCAATTTGTTCACACCCATTCATTTATCTTTATTATCTTGAATCTGATCTAGCATAAGCCGTGATATTTGCATAGCTCATGCGTAGCGATTGCGCAGTTGATACATAACCTTTCCGTACGCAACGTAGCATATTCTTGTCATTTGCGTCACGTTTGCACGGATATATGTAATTAGTGCAGTTACCCTTTACAAAAACCATCACCTTTTTTTATCGTTACGCATGACTGAACAATGTCGACATCCATTGTAGCTCCTAGGTTGACCTGAATATACTGGAGTAACAATGGGCTTTACACACGTATTCTAGCCGGTGATACACGAGGTGGGCCGACGTCAGATATATACCTATTGGATGTAGCCACAATGTATTTACAGGTCAGTATCTTGTACACAAACCAATGTTTTGTTCGTATCATTATGCTATATTCATTATTAAGAATGCTTTAGAAATGTACAACAATGATTCAGGTATTATTTTGAATGGTATATCTATGGTTTTTAAATATCTCAGACCCACCCTTAACGGCCTATTCACAACGGCAACACTAATTTGCAATTCGGCAACATTCTACGTGGCTGCTGGTTGACAATGTGTATTTAGAAGAGCCATCTTTTATTAGTTTACTCATGGCTTAGGTACCAAATACATTGTTTGTTTTATTATTGTTGCATGGTGGCAATGCAACACTAATTTCAATATTTAAAAATGAAAAGAGAAGCCGGTTGACATATTCAGGTACATTTTCTCAGCATGATAATTTTCTATGTACGTTTGGTTAGTTTTGCTTGTGTTTTACGTCCTATTAACAGCTAGTGTCAGTTAAGGACGTGCCAGGTTTTGTTGGTGGATGTAAGCCGGAATTCCCGGAGGTAAATCACCGACCTACGGATAGTACATGGCGACTGCCCTACGTAGGTCTCTAACCCACGACCCAGTGGTGGAGGGCTAGTGGTAGCAGAATGTCAGACGCCTTAACCACTTGGCCTAAAAATAATAGCATAATACTAAAAAATGTAATGCTAATATATTGTGACATTATCTGATATCAGTACAGGCACTATGTAATGCCTCGTTCACGTAATATTACAATATCCTTAAGTTACACTATATATAAATTAATCACGGTCATTATAGCTAATGCAATATTGAAACTGGAAATGAATATCAAATGTAATTAATTATTATAAAATATTCAAAATCAAGATGACAATGATTATGAAATATTAAAACTCTATAGGATGATAAGGATTTTAGAGCATTACAATTATCGATGATGATATAATAATGTTACAATATTTAATACTGGTGCACTTACTAATATAATATTATATTGTCTCTTTTTGTCAAAATCGCATTTAAAATGATACCTAAGTACATTTAGATGAATTTTCTCATTTGCTTTTGTTCAAAGAGTAAACAAAAAACAAACAAAAAACAGGAAACTAGCTCAAATTTCTTTTTATCTATATCTCGGTTTCTCTTTTCATTATTAGAGGCTGGTAAATACTGGTATCTTTCTGCCTCGTTGGTGCATTATACATGTATTCCCCACCTCAAGGGCAATACATATATTATGGTGCCAAAATAAAACCCCAACTAAAAATAAGAGATGATCACGTTGACGCACCGTTGTTGTCGTCTGCCTCCGTCATTTGAAACTAGGTAGGCGTGGCTCGTGCCGAATTTTCTAAAGAGGCTTCGAATGAGGGAAACATTATCGGGGGAACAAGTGCGACATTATGTTTTAATGCGCCGTCATGTGACCAACGCTATAAAGATAAGGTATAATAATAAATCAAACAAAGAAGAGTACTAAGCTAAATAAATACTTTTTAAAGAATGGATGCCAAATTTGGACATTTTTATGGCCCCTCACTGATATGAGAATAAATTCCGTTTGACTCCTAAGGGGTCAAAGGAGGGGTCAATAAAATGACATATCAATCTTTTCTTTTCAATATCCCCTTAAAACATATAGTTTTAGCCCAAATCAACTATTCAGATATGTTTTCACACTATAACACCAATGAAATGTTATCAGAACAAGAACACGTTAATTATTGTTTAATTCAAAATTTACCCTCATTTTTACATTAAAACATTTTAACGTGTCAATTAAAGTAGACTAATCAATGCACCTTGTGTTATCCCTGTTTACACCCAAAAGGGATATTTGTAAATACTTATATATTCACTTTATAACTCCAATATCTCCCAAGGGGTTTCACTGATTTTTTCCCCCAATATTGCAACTTGTGTAAGTCTGACCCAAAACGTAAAACGGCCGAATATGACATCCGTCCTTTTAGGGAAATTCTATTTGTAATAACAGGTTGTTTATTTGAATTACCATGCAGTATTGTTAAACAATGTGTTGACCAAAGCCAATTGTCATTATAATTACATGTCTACGTCTATAAGCACAAAACCCTTGCACAGAAAATGACTGGTTAACACAAGAACATTGAGGTGACTATATACTGTATACATTGTGAACGGCTGGTCAGGAGATATTTCATTTTGTTTAGATACACAAGACTTATATATTCAAAAATGGGAAAATCTCTTAGATATTTTATATGGAATGTTTTAATTTTGTGTCTGAATTGTTTGTTTTGATAGGAAAATTGGCAAACGTAATAAAGGATTGAACTGAAACAAATGTCTTTCCTAATATTATTAAAAAAATCCGTGTTATTGACGTATTTAAATGATGTCGATTTAATAAATTCAAGTGTTGAATTTACATATCGCTCCTCAGAAAATTTAAATTGAATTCAGTTCTGCTGCGATAAATAACATCTGCCGTACCTGCCCAACCCGGTTTGGCCTCATGTCTATTTTATGTATTTCTACAGCTTTGAACAGGATAGAAATATCAATACTGCCACGTAAAACTGTTCCCTGCACATTGTAATTACAGCACGCGCATATTTGCAATTATTATAAGTCTAGGCAGTTGTAATATTAGAAGTAGATGGATATTAAAAACGCTTTGCTCACTTGTTTAAAATAGGGTTTACTGTCTAAATGTAAACAAGATCAATCAACAACTTAATTTTAAATAAACCTTGACTTTAGGGCAAAATATGAGCAAAGATTAATACGGACATGTTAAAAAAACATATTCAGCGAAAACGTATGGCAAGCAAACTAAACATTTAGTCAAGGAGCAATGTCAATGTCAATCATGTATCTCATTAGCCCTTTCATCCCTTTGTTACATGAGTGAACTCTACCATGCATTAATCTAGATGAGTCCATTATGGTCTACAGTGGTGAAAGGGTTCACTTATGTCAGATACTTGATATAGCATACGATATCATTTATGTTGTATATAATATACCTTATATTTTATATTAGATAATTTATACAATATATGAAATATATGAAATATCATAGATTCTACGTGATATATTGTCTAAAACTTCAACCACGATGTCAGCCACGCTTATCTAGATCAAATAGAAGTTCAACTGCCCTCTTCCCCATGCAAGTTTATGCAAACAAACTGTAATAGTCAAATCAAGCATAAAGTTTTATGTTTGGAAACGAACGTATGGTAGACCATGACACAGTATCTATCGTGTAATCGTCATGGCTATTTAACACATCATATCCTTAAAAACAGGTTGAAGAATTTCACTGCTTTACATATTTCAAATATTTGTTTAACTCTAATGAAACTTATGAAATGTGTCTTCTTCTGCTTTATGTTCTATTATGAAATATTTTTTTCAGATCAGCACTTAATTAACTGGTAAGATGCAACCAATTGGTTTGGTTTGTTTGGGTGGGTTGGTGTGGTTTGTTTGATTTTTGTTTTGATTGAGTTTTTAATCCTCACAGCAGCCATTGTCATATAATAATAATAATAATAATAATAATAATAATAATAATAATATACAACATTTATATAGCGCCCTGTATAATTTTTAAAATTACTCTAAGGCGCTTTACAACATATGAATAATAGTAATGGTTATAATTGTGAAAACAAACAACAAAGGCTTGCAATCACTTTCATACATTTAACAAGCAATGTGCACATAATTGAACAAATAAAAGGGTGGTATTTACATGACGTCTTTGCAAAGATTCTAAAATGCAGACGTGAAGAGGTGAGTTTTTATGTCCCTCTTGAACTTGGCCAGGGTATTTGACTTCCTAATAGCAGATGGTAAGCTATTCCACAACGTAGCCGAAACCCTCCCAAAGCATCTGTTTCCGTAGGTCACAGTACGAGATTTTGGGACACACAACAAA